TTAGTTATTGTGTCCCATCACCAAAACCTCCCTCCCTCCTCCCTCTCCCCCCTCCCACCCAGATGTGTCCCCTCCATTTTCTTGTTGTAAGAGCTTCAAAAAAAAAAAAAAAGTTGAGGTTGTTAAATCTTCCCCCCCCTCCCCGGTTTTTTTTTTTGTTGTTGTTGTTGATGTTGCTGTTGTTGCTGTTTGTTTGTTTTTGTGTGAGTGTGTGTGAGAGTGTGTGTGTGTATGTGTGTGTGTGTGTGTGTGTATCATTTGAGGGATTTTTAAAAAATAAATGTATTCTTTCTTGATAATTCTGGTTTTGTTGAAAATGCTTTTCTTTCATTTCTAGTTGAAATTGAGTGAATACGACAGAAGCAAGAGAAAATACTTACTTTCCCAGCAGACAGGAAGCATATTATTTTCACCATATAGGATGGCTGGTTAGACCTTTTCATACAAACACACTTACTGATAAATGCCAAACTGGGCTTTTGAGGATCTGATATTTTTACTCAAAAACAAAACAAAACAAAACCCCCTTTTTAAGGTCAGTTATAGGCAAAGAGCTGCAACCAAGAGGTATATATGAAATCTGTCTGCTTTCTTTGGTCCTCAATATAAAATCCATAGAGAAAGAAAACATGGTGACCTAATATAACAGCCCCTGAGCACACGCCCTTATCTCGCTGTGACCACATCCTCCCCACCTAGAGCATTCGCCTGACTCTCAGCCTGGCTGGGCCGGCCTCAGCCTGCAGGGCTTCCTGCTCTCCTCGGGGCGATGCCTCCCACCAGAGGAAACCGGAAAGGGCGTCTGATGGCTGTCATCGCACCACGACGGATGCCAGTAACTGTGCCACGAAATGTCTGGTTTGGCATCATTTCCTATAACATGGGTTCCCATTTAGAGACCATGTACGTTGAAATTGCCTGATTATTTCAGAGAGAAGGCAAGCTTCATTATTTCTTTTCCCAGAGATTTCCAGTAAAGGTGAGGTGTTCAGGGAGAGGGTGCCAGGAAGGATCCAGATGGAATTCATACCCATTCAGCTCCCACTGGCAGCCAGATAAAATGCTAGAGGTCCTGTATGTTTACAGTTTCAGAGGGTCACTGTAAAAGACCCTGCAAATAAACCTATGCATGGAAGAAAGAACGATGCTTAGAGAGGGTCAGTGACCTGCCCCAAATAGTCTCCATGCTGTTTCAATTACCTTGTGAGGCCACTTTGAATACCCTTCATGCTTATTAACTTTATGAGAATATGCTGTGGCATTTGTGGGTAAATATGGGGAAGCCCTGCTACCAAGCCCAGAACAGCTTGGTCAGGACAGAATGAGAAGCCACTCGAGAAGCCATGCTTAGAGGGTGTTTTGGGCACAGACCTGGAAGTGTCCCCTTTTGGGACATTCTGCCCAACGAGCTTTCTGCATTCTGGAGGAAAAAAGTCTAAGAAAACTGCGTATCTTCTTTTTTCTTGTGAACGTGCTTTAGCAGGAAATATCACGAGGGGACACATGGAGTGGGCTCCACACCCTGTAGTCTGGACTTAAGTAAATGGTCAAAATATGAAATGAGGATAATGTTTTGGAAATATGTAGCAGCATATTTTTATTCTCTCATATAAATTATGTCACCTGTGGCCTTTCTTCTGTTAAGGCTACACCATGAGATATACTAGCCACAGGAAGAGACAGTAGACATGCTCAGAACAAACTCGCTTTTTGAGTTAATTGAGAAAATGGGCTTGAAAATCAGAGAAAAGGAGAAATGTACAGAGAAAAGGCTTTTCTAAATCTCTTAATCTCCCATTCATAGATCAAAAGGCAAGCCCAGCAAACCAAGAAGACGGAATTTCACTAGAGGTTGTAGATGTGGGAGACTCGGGGTACGATGTCTGTGAAGTCAGCACCGTCCAGAGAGAAGGGGCACTTCTGGTGGGAAGTGGGTGAGACGGTGGGGGCCAGTCAGAAGGGCAGAGGGTAAAGCAAAGGGACTCCTGGTTCCCTCACCTCCAGGGACTTAGCCCCAGGGGACAGAAACCTG